ATTCGTCAACGCACTCAATATCCAATTATTTACGCTATCCTAATATATTTGTTATCTTTGCTGGGATTACAATTCTGTTATGCTCAAAATGTTGCAGTTGCATTAATTTTCTCACTTAACACATAGATACAATTCATAATGTGCATTAAAACAACAGATATATTTTAAATTAATGTTTTAAGCTTTTATTTTTTATGCATACATTCTTACCAATAATTTTTTGCTTAAGAAAAAAAAATAAAAGATATAAATTTTGATATATTTATTGTTTGTTATTATTTTTAATATTTTTTATTTAATTAAAATATAAAAAGCAAAATAATATTTGTTTTAATTTAATAAACTACGCAACTTTCTACTCTTATACACAAAACGCATTTTTTTATTTTTCATGTAAGTCTATGTTTATTGAACACTTCAATGACTCGTTTCTGTGACAACAAGCGTAATTTCGTCGATCTTCGCGATCAAACCTAACGACCACCTAAGTGTTTCTCGATTTCTCGATTTCTCTCTAAAGTAGTATTTGTTGCTATGGCCTTAAATGTCTGTTCCCTGCGCTCGATATCGTTTATCGCTATTTTCTTCGATAGCCCGCGTTTCGTACAATGCGATTTTCGTATCAAACAAAATACGGATAAAAACTTATTTATTAATTTTTCCATGAAAAATCTTATCATTTAATTTCTTTTATGTATTTATTTTAACAAAAATTTAACTAAATATATTAACAAATATAAATAAAGAAAAAAGTCGGCTTTAATATGATATGATTTTAAAATATACCTGCAAAATTTAACAGCTTATTTTTTAGAATTATTTTTTATATTTATAATTTTTTTTTATATTTTCAACGAGAGAGAGAGAGAGAGAGAGAGAGAATATAGCGTATATTCATCTATAACCGGAAATTTTTGTTACATTTTCTACATTTATACGTATATACTTATTCATTGACGGCGATATTGTATATCGTATTGATTTTTCAGCAAAGAGATTAATTTTTCCGGATATCGCGAACGGTCGAGCTGTGTCATCAACACAAAACATTCAATACATAACGGAAATAAAAAATGTTTGGCTCGAATACGATACCGCTGCTAACATCAGAAAATCAATTTCCAGTTCAGCTATCGTCAATAATTCATAGAATCGTGATTCAGCAAAATCCAAACTGCCGTCTCACAAATACCGCATATATGACCTTCGTACATCGAAGCTAAATTTCTTGTAATACCTGAGAGTTATGAATTCCGTCAACGTGTAAAAGTTTGCGGCGTATAAGCAATGCGCCGTCGTTATAAATCATCGGCGTGAATCGATCTAAAAACCAAAAAAGACCTGTCTATCTCATTCGAATTACGTATAAGTACGCAGTTTATCACCGTTGCGCCGTTTCCTATTTTGCCGGAATAAATAACACGAGGATAATATCTCACACAAGTGTAATATATTTTATCTAGCTACAATATATTTCCCGGTAGAATTTCAAGATAGCATTTCAAATGATCTCGTCAGTTGGAGGCTGAAACTACTCGATGTTGGAGGCAAATGAGAGATGAGACTGCGTATTATATTGAGAGATATGTCAGTTTTTAAATTTGGTTGAGTAAAAAGTAGCCAGAGAAAAATTCTTCAAGAATCTCACGTTGTGCTTAATAATTTTACATAAATGCGGGGATAAATGCATCATGATGTTGCGATGTGTACAGTGTGCATTTTATTTAATTTTTTGATTGAAGCTCGCATTTGCGCAAATCATTGAAATATGTACGTAACAAATGTCTGCAATGCTGTAAAACGTTATCGCCCGTGGCACGCATTAACGCGAAAGTTTAATCGAGCGAAACATATGCGACATCGCCATTATTATCGTTATTTCTAGGAGTGTGTAAATATACACGATACAAGTGTGCTGGATAACGTAATAATTTTTGTCAACTCGGTACAACCCGGTTTACATATATGTTGTATAATATTGTTTAAATTAAATCATCCCATACAAACGTATCGCATTATTGTGCTTCTGATTACGATAATGCATTTTCCACACATCTCTTTTTAAAGAAATGCGTTTTAAAATTAACTTTTGTACAAAATTTTATTAGGAATAATTTAATAATTTATTTATATTTCTTTTATATATACAATATTAAATTAACTAATTAACACTTTAGAGATAGATTAATTTTATTAAGATATAAAATAAATAATTATTGTAATTTTTGGATCAAAGCAAATATGTTTTAAAGTATCTTTCCTAAGAATAAATATTTTTTTTTTAATGTGACTGACGATAATGTTGAAAGTGGAACTGCAATCGTAACACATTGCGCGAAAGTTATTTTGCGGTAAGAATAAAAACTTGAATCACGGCAAATACGAGACAGATATTACAGTGGCGTTTCCCTTTAAAGCCCTCTAGTCGAATTAATGATAAAAGTTTCCCGGAAGTAATAATGGTATCATGGATACTTTATTTAGTCTTGATATCGAGCATCGATTGGAGGTTCCATAGACCTCAAAATAAGAGTAATGTTATACATTATATCCGGATGTCCACTTTTATTGAGTTTCCGAACGTTTGAAAACGTTGGAAATAAGTAGATAATTGATGATAAAGATGGAGATTATATCGAGATTTTTTTGTATGCGGATTAATTGAAGTACGTGTGAATTATCTCTGCGAAAAGTATCACATGTTATTTTACATGAGAGCATATTTAATTTTGATTAATTAATCATCTATTAGATAATTTCATATTCATCGGTGATTATGAGTGATATATCTATATCGCCGGAGAGTAATATAATGCTATAAATGTTACGCAAAAGTAAATAATTAATATGTCGACGAAGTGTACTCTGAGCAAACATTTAACATTAAACTATATTAGAGTTACTACCACCAATACTATTTTGATATAGTGTTTCAATACATGCATGGAGTGGTGATATAATGTTTTGGAAAAAAAATTGATAAGTCGGGAGAAAATGCTTCTAGAAATTTGATAACGTTGTTATTTGTAGCGCTTAAATCGTATAATTCAATTTGCTGTGATTCATGTTTATATGTTTGTGTACTAGCGTCTCTTCCTCTGATTTATTTATAGACAACTTAAATTTAAAGCGGATTGATTTTACAAAAGTCTTTGTAACATTATGGATACCAATACCAGTATATCTATAATGTTATAAAAAGGATATTAACGTATTTTTCTTGCAATGCTTTCCGATTTGCTAATGTTGAATATTTTCTCCGTTCGCTATCCTTGAGCGAGCGATCCGGATGAGAGGGTCGTTAACTCGCGTTGGCACGGAAGAGACTAGACAGGATTCTTATCTACGGATACTGGGCACCGATCCAGACAGGGGGGGGATCGCGACCCTAATATATGGTTCGATAAAGTTTTCTTTACTTCCGGATGAGAGGGTCGTTAACTCGCGTTGGCACGGAAGAGACTAGACAGGATTCTTATCTACGGATACTGGGCACCGATCCAGACAGGGGTGGATCGCGACCCTAATATATGGTTCGATAAAGTTTTCTTTACTATCACAAACTTATTCAATATTTGTCAGCAAATTCTTCTTTCATTAAAAAACACCATACTTACTCTACGAAAATTTCCTTTTACATAATATCAATATTGCTGACAATGAAAATGTTGAAGCGCGTTCAGAAAATATAAAAAATTGAATAACATGCGATAAAAAGACATTTTATAAAAACGTACGCAAAGAATTTCATAGGTTGAAAGGAAAATGCCAGTCCAGTTTCCATGCCGTTAGCTTTTGAATAATTGAGAACGATTCACACAAAAGAGCATACTTGCACGAGACTACAAGTAGACGTGATGTTGTGCATATAATGTTAGCATATTACTGACATTGCTGTGTTATTTTTTTATACTTGTGAAATATTTTTACTTATAATATAACGCTTTATTTTTATGATGCTACAATATTAGTTGACATGATTTTTTATATTTTAATAAAATAAGTATATAACTTTGTCAGTATATAAATATTCAACTTTCTCTAAGCTCTTCATCTATAATTTTTGTTGGCATTCTGCAACGTTTGATAGCATACATTTTACATCTGATAAATGTTAAATTGGGTGTATATTTTATAGTGAGATCAACTTGCACATAATTAAATTCAATTTATGTGTATTGAGAACAACAGGTGTCGCGCCTATACGACAAATTAATTGAGGATAGTGAATTACCTTGTCGGATATGCGGATTCTGTACATGTCGAACATGCTGAAACAATACCAAAATTTAAAGTTCAAAATCAATGTAGTAACAAATAATATATTGCTACGATGAATGTTGAATCTGGAAGAAAAATTAACTTAAATGATTAAAATAAATTTTTTTCGTATTCCATTAATATATGTATACATGAAGAGAGCTATTTCATGAATAGTCTTTTCTAAAGCTCCTTTGCAAACTCTGGCTCTTCCCTATACACGCAGATACCACCACAAGAGAAGATCTAGATTTTGCAGTGGCAAAACTTTGGTCTATCTTTGCGACGAGCCATCTTTGTTCATTGTCCTATCGGCACTTTGATAGGGCAAAAAGGGGAGCGGAAAGTAGAGGTAGTTCGGAATTAAACTTTCGCATAGAGACAATAGAGAGACCTTGGTATACATGTTGAAAGAGACTGCTAGGGACGATTCTCTCCGGCAATCTATAGTAAGAGACATAAGGATGAAAAGGTGTGAAAGACAATGAACAAGTTATATCTTTGTTGCTCTCTTGACTTTTCTCTATTTCTTATAAAGAATACACTATTCTTTGTTAAAAACTAAAATAATAGTTCTCTTATTAGATTTTTGTCGCTATACTTCTCCACTGCTTTAGAATTTTTAAATTAAATGTATAATTAAACTCTCGTTTTTTTTTGTTTTTTTTAATCTTATGCAACAAGTTAAAATTCTATTAAAGTAATCTCTATGCAAAATGAATTAAAAGACACAAATTTATCATTTATTTTCTCCTTAGCAGCTTAGTTAGCCATAAGCTCTTTATCTGTAATTGCTAATTACTCTAAAAAGATTTATGGATAACTCAACATTTCCGCTGAAAAACAATCATTTATAAAATCGCCAAAGAAAAGTCAGCGCAAGATAATGCAAAAGTAGGACGCCATGTATAGTAGATAAATATATAGTAAATAAAAGAATATATATAGGTTGGAGAAGGCAGATATATAAGAAGATAAAAACAATTCGCGTTCATCTTTTTATGGCGTTCGAAAGAAAATGAGAAACGTTATATAAGAGACGTTTGCACGTAGGAAATGTGTCCCTCACCTAATAACGGATTCAATTACGCGGGTCTGTGTAGCACTCGAGGTTACCATGATATACAGCGCAATGTAAAATTTAAAAGTGACGCGTATCCCAAGACTACTAACCGCCTCATGACTTGTGGTTTCCGTTTCGGCGTTATGGTGGCCATACTAACCGGTTTCGGTCGGAAACGGGACACTTCGTTCTCTCCGGGGAAATGTCTAAAAACGACCTGACTCGCTCTCGCTTCTGCCCGCTTTTTCCTCTCTCTCTATATATATAAACATATATCTAGTGTCCAAATGTTTTCCTACAAAGTTTGCCTCTTCCGTTTCATGTTAAAAATGCATCTCTCTGCGTGTATAAGTATAATCTTGACTCATTTAACATAATTCATGAAAAAGAAGCGCTCTTCTATATTTTCTACTTATTTAAAGATACCTTATTCTGCAGCGCTTAATTTATATCCAAGATGGAAGACGACTCATAACTAATTGTAAATAGTTTTTAATTTTTTATTAATTTGCACTTATATGTACATAATAGTATAAATGAAAAGGCAGCATTAAATACTGAATATATGTGATATTATTATTACACATCGGGTCTGTGATCAGTGCCAAGCGGATGTATAACGTGCAATTCGCTTAAAAATTGTATGAGAATAAAAGCAAAGTAGAGGGAATATAAGAGACCGCCGTAAGAACGACGTGCGATAGCTCCCGTAATGTTCAGATAAATTATGGTAGCCACTAGTGAACATAGGAGGAAAGCTAGGCAACCGGGTGCCATATCGCCGATCCTGATCTTTGTCTGTTGTTCAGGATCGGCAGCGGTGGTAATGCCGTAAGTCAGCCCTAGTCCCAGCAGAGTGTTAAACATCGGCCCGCCAAAACAAGCTGCATATCCCATACGAGGAAATCCCCGTCTGGCAATAGCGATATTCGATATCAGATCTAGACAAAATTTCGAATTATCTTGCATGAATTTTTGTATAAATATACAAAAGTATTATTGAGAGATACAAATTAAACTGAACATTGAGTTTTGAAGAAAAGTTATTATTAAAAAATTATAATTTCGTAATGAGTCTGGAAAATGTGTAACATCACGATTAATTTATTTAATATTGTACAGTCTTTTTTATCATGTTTGAAAATTTAATCTAAGAATGTACCTTTTTTTTTATTGAATTGTGCGTACTTTTGGTTTATTCTAACTTTGCAAGTACTTTGGCAACAAAAAGCATTTTTCAACATAACTCACCCCCGATACTGTTCCCCCATGCAAGAAAAGTGATACCCAGCATGGCGTCAGATATGCTGCATGCGTATCCTATGCATTGAAGTACTGCTATGACTTCCGTGGCCACCAAATAAACCGTCAACATGGCAGCGAAAAATCCCAAAAATGCAAATATCTGGAATTATGCTACGTGTTTTACCATCGATATTAGTAAAATTGCTAATCTTTTTCGCATTTTTCGACGTCATGAGCACTTATTAAAGCTTCAATCAGTTTCTTGCGTAAAAAAGAAAGAAAAAATACTCACATTATGGAATTTTGGTACACGGTCCACGTGAGTCGTTAGAAACACAATTATACCAATTACGGTGCCGACAACGAGGAATATCGGCACTATCGGCACATTGCCAAAAGTCATTTGCCAAACTGCAATAAAACAGTTAAAATAAAATTGAAGTTGAGTGGTACAGATTGTGTTATATGCATTGATTGTCGATACGACGATTATGCGTTATTGACTATATGTCTGGATTTCACATCTATCATATTGGAATGAAACGCGTTCTAAAGAACGCTTCTATAATATCGTTGGAAATTATTTATAAGAAAGATATACTAGAAAGCAATAAAGCAACGTCTTTAATATTTTTGCCTTTATATAATAAACAATATAAATTTTGATCATATATAATTTCTTTATTTCTTTATTTACGAAAAAAAATTTTAGAAAATATGATACTTCTCTCTCTTTTAAGTTAAAATGTTCTTCAAAAATTTAATTGTATTGTTAAACATCAGATAACTCTTTTTTGTTATTAGCATACACGCGATTTATATAATTGTTGTAATATTATAAAGATCAAAGATGAAACGTACCGTTTAATAGATATAGTGCTATCGTAGGTGTTACACACAACTGAAAGCAATTCAATAGCTTTGACCAGCCTCTTTTCTCAGCAGTAGGATCTACAACCGGTATAAAGAGTTGCAATAGCAACATGACAGGCGAACGTACAATCAGAATGATCTTGAACAATCTACTCGAGTTCTTCCAATCTTCTCTGCTGATCGGATTGATATCATATAAAAATTCTCTGAAGAGACCTATTGGTCGGTCGGAAACGTAGTCGCTAATTTCCGGGCTCAACTGGACGAGATCGCCTCGTATTTTTGATCTCTCTATTTCCGTTGCGACGGCAATATCTGATTTAAACAAACATATATACGTACATAGAAACATGCAAGTTTAATCATATTTCAAGATTCTAAAATAAGAATTAATTAAGTCTATAATATTTAAAAACTTTTGCTTTTTTAAAATATAAAATTGAGATTTTATAAATTTATTTTTCTTCTTTTCGCGCATATCTATATTTTAAAAAATTATGTGTTTAACATGTGAAAGTTGTGAGATAAATACGTAAATATTTATCATGAAAATGCATGATTAACATAATTGTGACAACAAATCATTTCACGATTTAAAACTTATTTTCGAAGAAATAATAATTTTAGAAGATATGCGAGAATAGAGATAAATTTATTTGATGTAAGAAAGGACGCATCGTTCTGCAAAAGAATCGAACTATTGAAAAATTCAAAAGAACTAAAGACATGGATATGTGCGATGAGTCGTAAAAACGACGCTCGGTACCTAGTTTGGCACGTAAGCCAAAAGCTCGGCTTCTAGCGGGAATCTTGGGAATGGTGCTTGTGTCTATGTTCGCCAAGTAAGTATGCAGGACGTCTGGATCGGGTACACTTGGGATCCTGGCTGAAAGTACATAAGAATGTTCTCGGGAAAAGGGATCGATACTTAGTATGGAGAAAATTTTCTATAGGCGATAAAGAAGAAAAGAAGGAAAGAGAAAACAGGAGCTAGTCGTCTCTTTTATACATTTTTACAGCGAACTCAAGGGTTGTGAAGAGATTTCTCATTGTGGAATAGAAATAGTTTTTGAATGCGCATCATAAAATTTCCGGGGGTACACAAAGATATCTTAAAAATATATTTCTCTAGTAAGAGTTAGAGACTTCTGTGGTGACGAGTATAATTTTATTTGTATTTTTTGAAAGTTATAAAAGTTTTAGTTTATCACCCGAGATTCTTAAATAAGATATTAAAAATTCGCGCATAATTCGTTGATGTAAGCCGAGGAATCTATAATATATTTTACTTTTCAGTTTTTCCTCTTTGGTGTCATATATCTGCGTTATAACGACCACCACGATGAATAGTACATAGATCAGAATAAAACCTGCAATTAAAATGTGTTAAGCATTAAAAAATAGTAATGTGTGTTATCTCTCGACTTACAAAGTTATTTTCTTACATATATCATTAGAATTGAAATAAATGGTTTATATACGTGATATGCAAAAAGACTTAGATGACACTGTATGTTCTTTTCTTGATTGAAAAAAAAAGATTTTGATTAAAGATTTTAGTTCTTTAATCCGAATGAAAAAGATATACTGCCGAGAACAGAATTCTTTTAAGAGCTTTTAACAAAGCAAGTAATAAGTAAATGCGCATATATTAAATATGAGTTGTCTGTTTCTTGAAATTTGCTTATTTATATACATATAACTATATTAAAATTGGTGTTGCTCAGGAGAATTACGAAGCATCTAGATGAATAAAATTGAATTTCTGTCTCTTTACAATACTATCACGTTTCGCGATATGAAGAAGATGAATCAAGATATTTGATGGCTTTATACGTGGCGCAACAATAATCTCCGCCAATGGCGCTTTGTACGAGCGCAAAATTATTTCCCTGGACTTTATCCGTTGCAACAATAATCCCTGCTTTCCCAGTGAAACGGATTCCTTGCCGCGGAATCCCGCAAAAATTCATCGACAGTCAGATTGCAAGCCCAGCCGGCAGGTCGTGGAGAGAGAGACTGCGGCGTAGCTTAATTAAATTCGCCGAAGAATTATCGTTATTCCAGAATGAAACCACTTATGGCTTTCCGCAGTTATACTTCCTCTTTCATTTCTATGCGTCTGATTTGCCATATATATATATATATATAATAAATAATAAAATATCGACAAAATTTGCCAAATACTATTCTAATTATTCTCATATATATACTATACATAATAAAATTAATATCACATTTTAATCATTTTGCTTGGCAATTACACATTTGAATGTTTAATTAGGATAATAGACAATATTATGCCACTATATATATTTTTTTTTCTAAATGTAATTTTTTCACGATTGTGGTATTTTGTGTGTGTGTGTGTGTGTTGTTATAACCTTATATTCTCGTTACAAGCCAGTGGTTGTAAAAATAGGATGTGATAAAAAGAGAAGAAATAAGTTGCATTTTTTTGTCATATTCACGGACGAAATAATTGATTCATGTTTACAAAGAACATATAGAGATAGATAGGAAAAAGTCGATTGATATTACTCTATCGAATTTGAATAAAAATAATAGACGTACTTACGGCCTCCCAGAGGTGAACCATTTCGTCCCACACTATGTAGTTTATCCAGCACACGGAAGCGATATAAAAACAGGCATCTCTCATGAGAGATTTGAGTGAAACTTTAAAGGGCTTAATTATCGCCACGGAACCGGCAATCATTGAGGTCACGAAGACACCCGCTCCGATTAATTCGGTGAACATTATTATCTCTCTGTCGCCTCTCGACACGAGGGACGTGAAGATGTCAGGCGCGCCGTTTCCAAATGCCAATATCGTCACCCCAGCTATGTTATCCGATAGACGCATTACACTGGCTATTACCGCCAGTGCTGGACAAAAACTGAAATAAAAATATCGCAATGATTTACTTACAGCATCTATATACATCTCACCGTTTGATATTTACACCATAATTAAGAGTTTATAGAAAAGTTTTTTAATTGCAATATAAATATAAATAATGCTATTGAAGACTCTCGAATTTAATTTTTTTAGCAAATTATTAGTTTAAATTAAATTTTTCTTACTTTTAATTATATAATATATTTTTCTTATAATATATATGTATATTTCCTTATAAAAAGCAAAATATTAGATAAATGTTTAGTAAATTACATTATAAATTTATAACATATTTTTTATATATTATAGAATGCGTCCTCATTTGATAGCTGATGCACAATAAATTATTATAAGAAAGTTTTGTAGAAAAATATTTATGACTTATTTTTAAAAAATATCAGAATGAAACAACGATACTTTTGCGTCAATAGTAGCAATTATTATAAATACGAAAAAGTATCACTAAAAAATCTCGGTTTTGGGGATTTTGAGACTCCATTATTGAATGCATGGCAATCTGCCATCTTTCCCTGATATTTATATAACTTGAAAGAGTAAGGGAACCCTTCGTTTATCATTTTGAAAGAAACCGCTGCGTCGAATGTAGACTGTTGAAATACGAGAAAACATGTATCTTTCGATTATTGGCTTGGTTACTTGCCAAAAGTCAAAATTTGTGTTGTAGTTACGTAATCATTTGCATATATTCCGTAGATGGTAACGCACGTTTTCAGCGGAATTGAACTTGGCCAAAGTTCCCAATTTTGGTACCAAGAAAAGGTACAATTTTATTATCTGTGTTTACATTGTGTTCTCATAATCTGCATTTATACACACATACACACATATAGAATTTATTTGCGCTTAGTTTTTATAAGTAAATTTGCACCGTATTAAAATATATAATATTTTATTCGGGAATTTAATAAAATTTATAAATAAAAGTTTATATGCCGATATATAATTATACTTTCAATTAGAAATTGAAAAATAATGTATAATTATTTCCGGCTATATAAATACCAGAATGAATCAACTTACAAATTATCAGCCGTGGTTCCCAAGATCAAAAATAAATAGAGCAGCCATAAGAGCGTGAGGACCAAGCCGCTAACAAACAGGTATACGTTTTCGGATTTGAAGAAGCAAAACAACAATACTGTGTACTGAATCATAGAGTCTGAATAGCAGTCTTCAGTGTTCCACACCCATTCGCAACGTTCCTCGGCGGAAACTTGCCAAACGTACGAGCAATCATCCTGAAAAAAAGATTTGACGAAGAACTCGACGAGACGCGCAAACTGGAAGAGAGACGTCGATAACAATTTACCTCCCGTATAGGCAGATGCCCACGTCTTAAAAAGGAACTCGATATTTGCGACCTCATGTTCGAAAAAGCATAAAAGCGCAACGAAGCGATATGTAACCTATATTTTGTGTATTTGCCTTTCACGGATCCGCTCGATCGTTGCCTATTCAAGCAAAAGCGAAACTTCAAGCGATACAGACAGAATGCTGTCACATACGTAGCGTATACTATGCACGCAGTTTGAAACATAAATTCAATACGATGCACACATAAAGAGAATTCTTAACAATGACATACACGTAGAATATGGGACATTCTGTATATATTGATCAATGCTAAATATTATACTGAATATTTTATGCAGTTTACAATATATTAGTTCTTTATTTACGACGAAGAACGATATTTAAATATAATAAAAAGAAAATGCTCCATAAATAGAATTTATATAAATTAGATTGTATACAATTTTCAGCTATATTCAGATAAAAATGTTGACGATGTAGCACATTTTTCTTCGTGAAAAAAAAAAATGATACGGTCGTAGACTTCTCTTGACTACGGAAGTGTACATTCAAGAATGTCGCTGCTTGACGACACTTATCCGCACTAGTCTGATGGCAACTAGAGGCTCATTAGACGCGGAGCATTTCTTTTCTCATTCCGCCCCATTTCTGTCCATGACGAGATGATGAAAAAAAAGAGAACTGTCAGGTAACAAGCACACGGAAGGAAACTTCTCGCAGCAAACGGTTACGCTGTCATCCAACGTGCGATATTATATCGACACTTATTCGATATTATTGTCAGCTTACGATAATGAAAATTCAATGATATGTCGCAAGCCGGCGTCGCCAATTCGTTAAATTCATTATTACCAACCCAGAACTTTCATAGTTATCAGTTTTATGAAAGAATATACCGCAGAGATAGTCAACGTTTGCAGAACAACGCGAAAACTATTTCTCTCAAAATGCTCGCTAATTGAATTGATAAAAAACCAACAATGTTATTATTATATAACACATTGTTTTTATATTACACATTGTGCTTCTCCCGGCATTTAAAATATTAGATGGAATTTTCGCACAATAGATACATCTCTCTCATTAAAATAAATTAAAATAGAGATATATGCCAACAATTTTGAGTTTTCCAATATTTTATCGAATATCGATATAAAATCAACTTTCAATTTTAAAAATTGACATTAAATGAGCTTATAGAAATATATTAAAATAATTATAGAATTTTTTGGTATTGTGAATATTATTAATTTTAAAAATAAATTAAAAAATTAAATAAGATTTAAGTCGCTGTTTAAGTTAAAAATAGTATTGAAAATCAGATTTTTACTAGATAACTAGTATGTTTTATCATTAACGAGAAACCTTAGCTTTATAAATCTTGCTTATCAGATATACGCAACGAGTTCGCAAAAACGATAAATCAGCTGGGTTGGGCAAGACTCGAATAGTGTGATAAGAACCATAATAAATTAGATTTACAAGAGATTTGTTATTTTAGCATAAAATTGCAGAGACTTTTTTAATGAATACTTGACTGCGTAAATTATTTTGAAGAAAAATCATGACAGGATTTGCGCTCTGACGTCTATCAGTCTATCTGCTATTGTTGCGTACTTTTTAACAATGTTCCATTAAGACCACCTTTCAACAGCAGCGTACTTCACCATAATTGCCAACTTCAGCAAATTGTCATTTATCGTCAGACTTCTTTTGTGATGCTTTTCGCTCTAAACACTTTATTGAATTGCATTCACAGGAGCACAAAGGAGCCAACGGCTTTACCCCAATTTATACTGCGCTTTTATTCTTCCTACGAAAGCCAAGCGTGCTCGCTTGGCTTTTCCGGTTTCCTGTTTTGGTTCTCTCTGTGCCGCCTACCCACATTTATAATAAAGCGCGTGAGTGATATAAGGCTGGAATATGCAAAAGCTTCTTTCCGTAGTATAAGACGACTCTTACAATTAATGTAACAGCGCGTCGGCATTGTGTTGTTGAAACCGAGTATGTACGGGTGTACACACTCGGTTATGCTCGAGCCGTTTTTGCCGTGTGTTTTGAAGAATAATTCATATTAAAAGTTAAAACAAAAGTTAAAGCAAAAACTCGTTATAAATGTTAAAATAATGGCGCAATTTATTTTAATTGGACTGACTGCTTCGAAAAGATGACAGAATTTTTCTACAAATCTATATGAGTATAATTTCTCGTGAGAGTTTATTTTTGTACGAAAAAATAAGTTTCACCATGGAAATTAATTTAATTTTTATACTAAGCATATATCTATTTAAAATACAATAGCACAGCTTGCTTAATAATATCCACGAATTAAAAAATAAATAAATCGAATTCTGATATTTTTATCAGTTGAACTATTTCACTTCGGGCATTATATGTAAATGTATATGGGATAAAAACTGAAATCGAAGACACACGCACGCATACATATGCATTGGTTTAAAGAAATTCAACAATACTAATAGTTCCGGCAAGAGAATATGTATTACTCTTTAATAATATAAATTATCCGCTTTTTTTTCAAGACATTCTATTGAAAGAATTGAATTTAGATTAGAATTTAAAACACATAATCCATTCGCAATAATTTTGCTTTAAAGGGAGAGACATTTTTTTTCCACTTTAAAATTGCGTGTGGAAAACCGTGCCTCTCAACTGTATTTATTATGTCGAACTATATTAAGCTATATTAGAATTTCGAATAACGAGAAAAAAATTCAATTAATCTGAAATTACGATCGTTCGTCTGACAATTATTGGCAGGCGTCGAATAACTTGTTCCAACAGATGCTTGATCGGTTTTGACTACTTATTGAAACAGGTGCTTCTGGCAGGTGCTTACGGTATCGATATAATTCTTTTTCTTTTATCGATTAATTAAAATCTAACATTTTAATCGTATTAGTTGATACGTAAAAAATATCGAGTAATATAAAGAATTATAAAAAAACATTACATAATTTATAAAAAGTTTTAAGTGCAACATATAAATATTCTACATAACCAATATAAAAATCTTGATTCTTTAGAACAGGAATTCTTGTTTGATAATATTTCGTTTAAATTGCTCGATAATCTTCTGTATGAGAACCGTCGGAAATTGAACTAGCAGTATCAGACCCTTCTCCATACGAAGTAGGCCATGTTCAAGTACTGATCGGTGAGAAGAGACATTTCTAAGATCAGCACCCCACAGTAAATCGCTTCCTGCGTCCAGAGCAGCCCTCCGTGAGTGATGAAGTGTCGCGCATTCGTGTCCAGACATTTTATATGATAAAAAGGTCCTTATTACCTTTGTTCACGGTATACATTTACATTATATTACAAAAAAGTCACAAACAGAGAATGAATTGAACTATTAAATTTTATAAATAAGAAGTAATTACAAGTTTTTAACTCTTTTGCATCTTTTTTATTCTGAATTAATTTTTTATAGTTATTTGGATTCTGTATATAAAGCTTTATATTTTTAAAGTGCTATTTTATAATTAATTAAAAATTTGAATAGTTTTCTGCTCAATCTTTTATTTAAAAGTAACAAATATTGCAATTATCAACTCTTACAGAGACTCTTGGATAGTGAATTTAAAATTTACGCACAAAAACGAAGCCATAAAACGACTAGATAACGGATAAAACGAGGTAATAACGATAACGAGTTTGATTGCATAATATAGCAAAAATGGAATTTCATAAAAAGCATTGGTCACGTG